TGACATGAGCGCTGAGGGTTGTTAGTAGTTTTAGCTGTAGTATGACAAGGTTAAGATAAAAGCTGACTTTGGCCCGGGGATATGAAACAGCGAAGACAGAGGATGGCAGACCTTCTGTTGATGATGATGAACGGACCAAAAGATCGGGCCAGGAAGACCCAACTCGGAAGCGGTGAATTCGGAGAAGCATCCCGGCCTGGCAACGGGAGATGCCACATAAATACATGCATCCCACCGTCACACTGCCATTCATCCCAATGATACTCTCTCTCCCAGAAGAGCTCATCGAGCAAATCCTTTCTCAAGCTCTTACTCCTCGTCATGATCATCCTCCTCAATGGCTTCATTCAACCAACAATATCGCTTCACTTTTGGTCTCTCGTCAGCTCACCAGAATAGGGACTCCTCTTCTCTACAATTCCATCGTTATATCTAGTCAGAACGCTGCAGCAGCTCTCTTGCGCACTCTTCACGCCAACCCCGAGTATGCGGGGTATGTCAGGGATCTGACACTGACTGGAAAGGGGTCAAATATACTAGCGCTCGCAGTCTTGAAGATTTGTAAAGGCTTGCATAGCTTGGATTTCAGCTTGATGGAGTCAGAATATGACTGCGACTATGAAAAGGTCTTTGGCGACCTTAGCCAACTTCGACACTTGACTCTGCGTAAACCATCATCGATCTACTTGACTCAAGTACAACCGAGGTCACAACTCGCAGCTATTTCCCTCGCTGTGCCATCATGGCCACACCTTGTACGTTATTCTCCCTTCAGTAGTCACCTCATCTCATCAAAATTTCACAGCGAACAGCATCGATCGCATTCAAACTCTGTGACGATACTCCTCTATCTCCTATCACAGCACTCGCCAACGCTCTAGCCCTCTCTCCATCTCTCCGAACCTTCTCAACTATCGTACCGTCCATGTGGACAACATCCATCGCCACCATATCATCCAACCCTTCCCTTCAACGTATATGCCTTTCTTCTGCAGGCCCTTCATACGTCTCAGGCTCATCAAACCCGATCCCGAACACTGGTCTTTTCATGACCGAAGCTCGTAGGCACCCCCATTTGGCAGAGCTCATAGTAGCAGGGACTCAGGTGCTAAGATGTAGAGCGAAAACTTTACCTTCTTCACCTGTTCCCGGTTCGGGTCCTTCTTCCTCTTTGCCTTCTTCTGCTTCTCCCTCTACCTCCTGTCCTCCCTCGTCCACTGCTGCTGTCGCACATGCACCCAAATTACGCATTGATACTACCGCATGCTCGTCATCCTCCCATAGACGCTCACATTCGCACTCAAGTTCGAATGCCATCAACCCCGCGTGGATGGCGCCAGCCAGTGCTAGCGCATCAGGGAGTATGAGTGCTAAGGAGAGGAAGAAGGCCAATAGAAGGAGTGCGAGATTTTGAGTCCTCATGAATCATTGAAAACTCATGACCTTTCTTTACTCTCCTCTGTCGGTGTTTGAGGCCTGTCTACGATCCTGTTCCTTATTTCCCCACATCCGCATATCTTTTCTTGATCTATCTTTATCGGTTTATGATATATACACGACATGATACGATATATATGTGTTGTACGAACTTCTCCCTCCCCCTTTCATACAAGGACTCTTCACGATAGATACCCAACCACCTGTGATTATGACGTGTACATGTACCATGTAC